CCTACACCAAATATTTGTATTTTGTATTCGTCTTATTCTCTCGAAACTTACTTTTTTGAAGATTTCACTTCTAACACGTATGTTCTTTACTATCCATTATCAGTGGTTAAGAAAAAGGGTTAAATGTAACATTGACTGTATAAAAAAGTTAACAGAAGACTAAACTGAATCCTCATCTATACAGTGATATCGAAAATCCGTTTGTTTCGGTGACTTATAATAGGTAAATACGAAAAGTAGATTCTACATAACCGCATCAGAAGTTACTTATGACTCGACCTAATATCTTATTATAGACATCAATATATTATTATTATTATTATTATTCATATGTAATAACCATTCATATATATTTTTCAAAATAGTTATCAAAAATGTTTGAAATATTTAAAAAATAAATAATCGAATAAATAGATACAAGTTTACATGATTTCTTTCATTAAGTATTAAAAAATTGGGTTTTTTTTTTCATAAATAAGAAATATATCGTTCGATTTCGATGTAAGTCTGAAAAATGAGTGGGTTTCTTTCTGATCCTACCAACAAATTATAATTCCTACATATACATGTGTATATCTATATATATATATATATATATATATATATTCGATGGTAACAGCAGCGTTCGACTATAGTAGTTCATATTTCATGAGGATCGAGAGGTATCAAGGATTCCGAGCAGGCTCGAAGTGTTTGTTACCACGTCGATAAGGGGGATGCTACGTCCCCTTATACCACACCACCACCACCACCCTTGCTGTGGTTTCAGACACTACGAGAAAAAGGGAGAGGGTACTTCTCTATCTTTCTATCTATATTTATCTCTCTCTCTCTCTCTCTCTCTCTTTCACTTTCTCGTTTGATCTCGATTCTAAAAGGGTGTATGTGTGTGCATGTGTATGTAACTGCAACATCTGTTCGTGAAAATCTTCAAGATTCGCGTATATTATTTTGCAAGCCTACGCATTTGTTTCGACGTGTTTTTTTTTTTTTTTTCATTTTATTTTTTATATAAGTAAAAGAAGAAGTTTTGTTAAAGCTACAGGTGTTACATTATTTAATTACTTTCTTTCATTTTTATTTTTAAATATTTAATTATACCCCTCTGTAATATATTTCTCTCATTTAACATTTAAATTTGAATCTGTAAAATTTCCTTTTTTTCAATTATAATTAATTTTTGAAATTATATTTGATATATAACTCAGATTAATATAATATTAATTATTAATGTGACATTTGTTAAAACATAGAAGAATAATATTTCTTTAACATTTTATTCATCGAGAAGTTAATAATATTTGACGAATGTGATTATTTTAATTATTATTCAATTATTTGGAATTATTATGAATATTTTCATTATATTTCATTATAATATAATTATATATTTGATGAATGAAAAAGTAACGTTCAGTATGTTCAATTAATGAAACGTGATTTGATTTTATATTAGTGTAGATAAATCGAACGATTTAAAGGATCAAACGTTTATTAGTCCTTTCGATGGAGTACTCCTTGCTATACTAAATCCTACCTGACCATAAATTTTATCCCTTCTTCTCTCTCTCTCTCTCTCTCTCTTTCATTCTATCCATTCATCACTGTTTCCTTCCTTCTTTTTCGAGACAGCAATAAATACAAATCTTCGAATAGTTGTTTGATTTTCTCACGTAAGCGACGAATGACGATGAAACCAAACGAAATCGACAATATTTTCTGATTTTCACGGGAAATTAAAAGTTTTCTCTTTTTTTTTTTTTTTCCAATGGAGATTTTTCATTCTATCTCTTTCTTTCTTTTCTTCTTTTCTTTCTTCTTTTATATCTCGTTTTTTACTTTTACTTCTACGTTTGTCAGGACATGAAACCGTAGGACGAGAATGCCCGTGAGATTTTCCCGCGTGTCCTTCGTGACGTTGAATTTCCCTCGAGACTTTTCTTTCTATCTGTTACTCTTACTCTTACTCTCTCTCTCTCTCTCTCTCTCTCTCTCTTTTTCTTTTTATCAAACTCGCGAGAAATACTTTTTGTGCCATACTGTTCACTTTCGTCTTTCTCTTCCTTCCTTTACCTTTCCCTTTTTCACTGTCCTAAGGCATCTACGTTGGCATCGAATATCCGTCACACGAAATTTACCATCTCGTGCGTAAAAAGGAATTTTCGTTTTCTACGATCTAGTTTCAGACACTTTTTTCTTTTTATATATATATTTTTTTTAATAAGCTTTTTATTACAATAACTTTTAATATAAAGTTTCATAGAAGTTTTTTTTTTTTTTGAAGTGTTCTTTCTATTATTCATATTCTATTTTTATTAGACATTTTTCTTCATTATTTTACACATTTTTTCATTTAATTTCTTTCATTAAATGTCTAACATGAAATTATTTCAATCTTTAATAATTTATTTAAAATTTAAGTTCAATTTTTATCATTATTTTTAAGAATACTACGCCTGTAAGAATGCAACCCTTCAGACACACTTTGAAAATGTTGCTTGCCAGCGCCATCTACTGAGACGGAATTTTTTTTCAGTTCAAACTATTTATACACATATGTATTACAGATTGCCTATTTTTCGGACAAAAAAAAATTCCGTCCCAGTAGATGTCGCTCGTAAGCAACATTTTCAACGTGTGTCTAGAGGGTTGCATATCTACAGGCGCACATTTTTTATTAATAAATAAATAGTTATAAAGAAATTAAATTAAAAAAAATACTTTAAAAAATGTTTGTAAATCAAGAACAATTCTTACTGACTTTATTTTTCATTTAAATTATTATTTAATACGTATTTCTATTTTCGTTATATTATGTTGAAATTAAAAACGGATTATGACATAAGTTAATGGCAAAAAAAAAAAGAAAAAAGAAAGAAATGTACTAAAGTAGTAGAATGTATAAGAGTTTTGATTGTAAGCCGTGGAAAAAAGAAAAGTCGCTGAAAAAAAAGTCCAGTCTCTGTCGCTGTGCAAAAGACAATGCTCTTAAGATTTCTTATTTCGATTCCCTTCCACTTTTAAGAAGTTCTCTCAACTTTTTACCATATCTCTTTCTTTACGAATTTTTATCCACCCCCTTTTGAAATGTTCTTAAGATTCTCGTAGAAAATTAACGACCATTGTTCTTTCATAAACAATACGTCTGCTCGATTAACAATAAATTAAAGTCATATTCTTGTTCTTAAATGTATATCAATTATGTATCAAGTATTAAATATTTAAACGAATTTGCAATCGTTTGAATAATACGATTTATTTTATTATTAAAATGTATTTTTTTTTTTTTTTTATATATATATAATGAAAAGTATAGAAAAAAAATTAAATATTAAATTAAGTTTATAAAAATATTAAATTAATATTATTAAGTAGTAATTTATATTGAAATTAACAACACATTTATTAGTGAAAATTATTACTAAAAATAATATATTAGTCAAGCTATTAAAATACTATTCTATCTTATTTATTTTAATTCCTACAATAATTATTAACAAATTCAATATATATATATATTTCAAAAATAATTCTTAAAGGTGTGTCAACACGTTGAGAATAATTTGTACAAAATTATTCATTCACAAATATAATCAAATTTATATCAACCGACATTTATATATACCATGTAACACGTGTTGCCGATTATCAGAACATAAAAAAAGAAACCCCAAAAAAGAAAAATGAAAGAGAAATCAAAAGACAAGTTGTGGTTAGAGAAAAGTTAAAGAAAAGTTAGTTGAGGAGGCAATAATCTCATTTGTTCTACGCAATCTCTTAACGGTTGAATTCTTGGCTTGAACATGAAGCAGGTAAAAGGAAATTGTTCTGACAGGTGTAACAACGAGTTAGTTTCTCACTTGAGGTTAATATGTCTCGACTATATATCACTCTTTCTCTTCAACCTTAACATAGTAGAAACATGTCGGTCTCTTATCTTGTACATATACATTTATCTTATACTTGACGAATAAAATAGCACAAGGAAGAAGTTTTCTACCTTCTCGTCTACCTTTTACCTATGTATATATATATATATATATACTTTCACTTTAGGTACTACCATCATTTTCGGCATGATTAAACATTAACGAAAGCAGACGGTCCGCACTCACTGTGATTGAGCTACTTCTGTTTTATTAAATTCAATTCCATGCTATATATATATATATATAGTACTAGTGTAGTATACTATACTAATATACTAGTATAGACATCTGTACTATATATCTATAATATATATACTATACTACATGCTATATATATATATATATATATATATATATTCGATGGTAACAGCAGCGTTCGACTATAGTAGTTCATATTTCATGAGGATCGAGAGGTATCAAGGNTATATATATATATATATATATATATACATATATACATATACAGATATTAAGGTATTTGTACAATGAATAGAATATTTCTCTACTTCTTTAATCTCGAACGATCTTTCGTGATTCTGATTAGAAAGGTGAATTTATTTAGATCCAAAAAAGAGAAGATTGTTTATTAAAGATGTGTTCTTTGAAAGCATAGAATTATATGAATGAAAAATCACACAAGTTATTTTTGTATTATCTTATCTTTATACTAAAAGATCAAAGTATCTTCAAAGTTTATTACAAGAGATATATTTTTATATTAAAAAACAAATACGGATCATATTTTTGATTGGGTTTTATTACAAAAGTGAAAATCTTCTTCCTAAAAAAAAAAAAAAAATAAATAAATAAATATAAAACCATCAGCCCCATAAATAATGAAGAAGATTATTGTGAGAGATTAAAGAGAATAATAAATCTTATGGTTAGGTTGGAAATGTAAAAAGGGGAAGTTGTAAAGTTCTAAAAGGAATCATATTATAGTTGTATTGTATATATATATATATGTGTGTATATTGTATGTGTAGAATAAAATCCATAGAAAGAGATGCGATTGGTGTTTACTGTTAGGCGAGTTTTAGCGGCGTCTAACTGTCGCGTGACTCATTTCAGGCGGCGGTCTGGCGCGTCCAAAGATGACTCTGAATCTGGAAGCTGGTGGAAATGCTTCCGGGGTTGGAGGAAATGTTGGACAACTGGCATTAAAGAAACCTGCTGGACTTAGCCTTGGATTACCCTTAGAAGTTAATGTTGCGAGAGGTGCAGCTGATCTCGTTGACGTCGATTTACCTCTTGAAAGACAAGGGTTTGTTTCTCATTCTTCTATCATTTTTATTTAATTATATTTTAAATTGTTATGCAATTTTTATATTTAATTTTTTGTTAGTTTGATATTTTAAAATCAAATTGATTTATATATATATATATTGATTTTATATTACAAATCTTATCTTAATGTATATAAATTACGTGTCACGTTGTTTGTTTGCAATGGATTCCTAAACTACTGAACCGATTTTAATCAAATTTTGTACACTTTGTGCAGTTTCATCCAACTTGAAAGATAGGATAGTTCATATCTCAATTTATATCGCAATTATTTGTTTATTAACAAAGATTCATGATTATCTCTGTTAGTTCGATTATTATATCTATATATATTTATTATGAAATATTTAATTAAATGTTGTGTTAATATTAAATCAAATTGTTTGTTTCAAATTGTATTGTCAACGATGATAATAATTTTTTTTTTTTTTTTGAATTAAATTAAGATACAAATATGATGAAGTAGTAGTAATAAAATTTTATCTGTTTTTTCTTTTTAAATTTTGTTTTTAGATGGTATCATGGTTCTATCACAAGAATCGAAGCAGAAGCTGTCCTACGACTTCTTCGGGAAGGAAGTTATTTGGTGAGGAACAGCGAATCGACCAAACAAGATTATTCCTTGTCACTCAAGTAAGTTGTATTACTTGAATTTACTCAAATAAAGTTCTTTAAATTAAAATTTCATGTTTGTATAATATGATTGTGAAATCTCATTGATATAAATATCATTTTTTAAACAACGTTTATTGATTATAGTTTAAAAATTCTGATTGTATATAATAAACGTGTTTATTAATTTAATTTAATTTTATTTTGTTTTTCGTTTACAGGAGTGCCAGAGGTTTTATGCATATGCGTATACAGAAAAATGAAGAACTGAACGCTTACATTTTAGGTCAATTTAGTAAACCATTCGAAAGTATACCAGAAATGGTTCGTCATTTTAGCGTTAATCGCCTTCCAATACGTGGTGCCGAGCATATGTGTCTTCTGCATCCTGTTATAGCACAGCTTTTGTAGCGTATCTACCGTAGCGCCGTTTAAAATAAAGGCGCTGCTGCTCTTCCTAAAAATACTAAAATAAAAAAAAAACCATTTTTGATAATTCGTAGTTTACTCTATTACGAATAATTAAACAATTACAAACAAATACATACATAAACATACAGAAAACACAAATACCTCTGGCATTTGCTCGATGATGAAGTAAAAAAAAAGAGAGAAAGAGAGAGAAAGAGAAAGGGAGAGAGAGAGAGAGAGAAAGAGAGGAAGAAATAAACAAAAATTTACCAAGAATAAAATGAGATACACGTGTATATGTATATATATATATATATACGAAGTTATATATATATATAAAATATATAACAAGACATTTTTTTTTTTAAATAGATGTAATACAGAAACACAATTATTTTCAAAAAAAAAAAAAAATCGACGAAATCTTCCAAAATCTGAACGTAAAAATGGGTCCGTAGGATATCGTTTTGTACTCTTCCATGAAATAATAAAAAAAAAAAAATTAAAAGGAAAAAAACAGAGATATGTGGAGAAGTTTATAAAATTTGATAATGAAAAATGAAGGTAAATATAATATATATATATACGATATGTGAGATCATCGAGTTAGACAATAAATCGACTAATCTCGATTTGAATGGAATGTTAAATGAAAGAAAACTGGTAATACGATTTAAAAAAAAAAACAGTACAAAATAATAAATCAGCCAAGAAATTCTCTGTGAAAGAATAAAAAAAAAAAACAAACAAATTCTATTCTGTGCAATGAAGAAATTTAATGATGATGAATTAACAAAAAGAATAAAAAAAAAAAAAAAGAATTAATGATGTATTAATTGTTTATTTTTATTTTATTTTTTCTCAATCCTCTCACTTCGTCGTTTCTTCGATCGTACGCAGAATTTTGTTTGCTCGTTGATGAATAAAAAAAAAAAATGCAGATACTTCTTCGTTATTATATCGAAGATAAAATCCTTTTCGTCTTCCCGTGAGATTACTTAAAAAAAAAAAATAAATAAAAGAGTAAAAAATTACAAAAAAAAAAAAAAAAAAAA